TGGGCCCGCTGGCTTTCTCGGCAACACTCCATGGGAGAGCGGGAGATGTTCGGCCGCGTCATGGGCCGCTGCAAAGCTGGCCTCGCACTCAGAGTCGATCATGCGGGTGGAGCCGCGCTTCATATTTGGCCAGCCTGTCCGCCTCTTTGTTCCCAACGTGATGGCGCCAGCTCGCCCCCAGCAGTGTTGCAACGCGCCACGAGGCGTGGGCTTGGCTCCAGACCACGGAGACCATGCCCGTGCCAGCATGACCAGGTCCTCTGCTGGCGATGCACTGCCAGCTGCCCGACCTCGGCCCAGACCGTGACCCCGCGAGCCAGCGCGCAGGTGGCGTCGCAGCAGTAAGAGCCTGCGGTGGGCAGTGCCTGGGGCCGCGTGGCCCCACTGGCCAGGCGGGCTCGGCTCGGCCCTCACCGCGTGCAGCCCGCGCCGCGACACCAGCCCTCCGGTCACCAGGCGCCGCGACCAGGCACGCCCGCTCCTCGCCGCCCTGCTGCCAGAAAAAGCGCCTGGAGGCCAGCCCAGAGCGGCTCGGGCGCAGGTGGCCCGGGGCGCCTCGGAGCCGGGGTGGTCCGTGAAGCGCCTGGGGGGGCGCTGGAGCCACGCCAGCCTCGGCCTGTGCCGCCACGCACTTCGGGCGGAATTTCTTCGGATCCAGCTGCTTACTCCAGATTTCGTAATAAAAGGGAGGGGGTCTCAACCCTCCCAGACGAGAAGTTTTAGACCCCCCCCCTGGGAGAACCCTCCAAAACATCGTCCCCAGACCCCCCCAGGCCCTCCAAGATAGCTTGGAAAAGACCCCCCCCCGAAATGAGACCCCCCTCCCTTTATTACGAAATCTGGAGTACCTTTGTCTGTGATCCACGCGTCCCAGGCTGCGAGCTGCCATCCGCTACCTTCTGCGACCTGCGAGCAAACCAAAGGCCGGTGAAGCAGAGAGTGGAACAACACATCAAAGCAAGTTAGCATCTCTGCTGCTACTGCTGCTGCTGCTGCTGCTGCACGCGGCAGGTGCTTACTAGAATTAGGCGGCGGCGGCGGCGGATGAGCAGCGAAAAGATTGGACACAGGAGAACTATCTCCAAACTGACGCTTGCTCGATGGAACTCCCTGAATGAGTAGCGTAAGTGGTTTGTCACCCGAGCACCAGACAACGCGGCGTCCTCCTCCGCATTATCCTTGGTATTCTTCTCGTTCGTCTCCCCCTCCTCCTCTTAGCGTAAGTGGTTTGTCACCCGAGCACCAGACAACGCGGCGTCCTCCTCCGCATTATCCTTGGTATTCTTCTCGTTCGTCTCCCCCTCCTCCTCTTCCCGCCCCTCCTCCTCCTCCTCCTCCTCCTCCTCCTCGTCCCTCCCCTTCTCGTCCTCCTCCTCCTCCTCCTCCTCCTCCTCCTCCTCCTCCTCCTCCTCCTCCTCCTCATTCTTCACCTCCACGAGGTGGGGATGGGGGGAGGACAACGGAGGAAGGAGGAAGGTGGCGTCCTGAAAACTTTATGGGGCCTTGATCCTCTTCGTCCCATCCTTATCCACCTCCTCCTCATCGTCCTTCCGCTCCTCCTTCTCCGCCTCCTCCTCCAACATCATCATCATCATCATCATCATCATCATCATCATCATCATCATCATCATCATCATCATCATCATCATCATCATCATCATCATCTTCATCATCATCATCAGCATCATCATCATCATCATCATCATCATCATCATCATCATCATCATCATCATCATCGCCTCATCGTCGTCAGCATCATCACCACCACCAGCATCACCACCATCATCATCACAATCACCATCATGATCAGCATCACAACCCTTATCATCCGCATCCTCATCATCATCTTCCTCCTCATCCGTATCATCCTCATCATCAGCCTCATCCTCATCATCAGCAGCATCGGCATCCGCATCCGCATCATCATCATCATCAGCATCATCATCAGCATCATCATCGTAGTCAGCACCATCATCATCAGCAGCAGCATCAGCATCGTCAGCAGCACCATCATCACCATCATCAGCATCGCCATCACCATCGCCAGCATCAGCATCAGCATCAGCGACATCATCACCATCACCATCATCATCATCATCATCAGCATCAGCATCATCATCATCATCATCATCATCATCATCATCATCATCATCATCATCATCATCATCGCCATCATCACCACCATCACCAGTATCATCAGCATCAGCGGCATCATCATCACCATCACCATCATCAGCATCATCATCATCATCAGCACCATCATCACCACCATCACCAGCATCATCATCATCATCACCATCATCAGCTTCAGCATCCGCATCAGCATCATCATCATCCTCGTCATCATCACAATCACCATCATCACGATCACCATTATCAGCATCATCATCAGCATCAGCATCAGCATCATCAGCATCATCATCATCATCATCATCATCATCATCATCATCATCATCATTATTATCAGCATCATCATCATCATCATCATCATCATCATCATCACCATCACCATCACCATCACCATCACCATCACCATCACCATCACCATCACCATCAACATCACCATCACCATCACCATCACCATCATCATCATCATCATCATCATCATCATCACCACCATCATCATCATCATTACCATCATCAATATCATCATCATCTCCCTCCTCGTTCTCTTCTCCTCCCCACCCCATTCCATCCTACTGGCGCGCGAGACGCCGCTACTGGCTGCTGCTCATGCGCGCGCGGGCGCGGGCCCGCTTTGCCGCGGTCTCGACGAGCTCGACCTTCCGCACCCAGTTCCGCTTCTCCGCCTGAGGGGGCCACCAGGTGGCTCCTCCTCCTCCTCCTCCTCCTCCTCCTCCTCCTCCTCCTCCTCCTCCTCCTCCCTCTAGTGTTCCTCCTCCTCCTCCTCTCTCCTCCTCCTCCTCCTCCTCCTCCTCCTCCTCCTCCTCTCTCCCTCTCGTCCCCCTCCTCGTCCCCGTCCCCGCGCCCTCCTCCTCGTCCTCCTGCTCCTCCTCCTCCTCCTCCTCCCTCCCTCCTCCTCCGCCTCCATCTCCTCCTCCTCCTCCTCCTCGTCCTCCTCTATCTCCTCCTCCATCTCCTCCACCATCTCCTCCTCCATCTCCTCCTCCTCCTCCTCCTCCTTCTCCTCGTCCTCCTCCTTCTCCTCCTCCTCCTCCTCATCCTGCTCATCCTTCCGTTCCTCCTCCTCTCCTCCTGCTCCTGCTCCTGCTCCTCCTCCTCCTCCTCCAAGAATGGCCTCTGACCACCAATCAGGCACATGAGTCGTCATCGTCGTCGCACCCCTCCAGGATCAGCGGCACTGGCCGCAAGACCGTCGCAATGATGATGGGCCACATCGCCCGCAAGGAAAATAATATTGCCTCTCACCGCCAATCGGGTGAGTGAGAGGGGTCGCACCGCCGCGCGCCGCCGCAGACAAACAGCAGTCCAACCCTCCCCACGGTTGCAAACGTTCTGGAAAGTGTGAATATGACGGTTCCACTGCTGCAGCCCACATTGCCCCTATGAGAACATTCACGGAGGAGGAGCCCCGAGCAGTAAATACTCACCGTCCCTTGGGGGGGCGACCTTTCGTTCATCTTTTTGCCAGAGCGCTGCGCCCAATAACCCTCAACCAGGACGAGTCTGAAGGGGAACCGGGACACACATATAAATAGATACAAATAACCTGATTCCCAATATTGTCCTACATTTTCCCCCCACTTCCCGTAATTTCTGGGCTTCTGTCTTCCACACTTTCTGGGGAATCGACGATTTATTGTGTATGTGTGTGTTTTCCCCCTCCTGAGATTCGTTCGGGGCCTAAGCCAAAAACTGCCGAAGACGCGCAAACCCAAGACGGACAGGAGCACGAGAGCCGGGTGGTGGAGCCCACCACGACGCCGCGCTCGCTCTGCGGAGGGCGGCGCTGCGAGCGCGGCTCCCGATCCCCCCCTGTTCAGGGGTCGTGGAGGCCACCCTCCCCAAACACGCTTTTTTTGGCGTCGGCGGCAAGGCCGGGGACGTCTGTGCCGGTGATGGGCCAGGCCGTTAGGGCAAAGTGTGCCACCATGGGGGAGGCGGAGCAGGAGGAGGCCGCGGCCGACAGGGGGGGCGGAGGTGGCGAGCCGCTCAGGGGAGGGGCGGGTCACGCCCACTCTGCCCAAGCAGGCACAACAACACGATGGCGCAGGACCGCTGCGGGGGGAGGCGGGTGTGTGGGGGGGGGAGGGCGGCGGGCGGGCAGTGGCGGCCGCACGGAGCCTGGGTGAGCGCCCTCTCAGGCTCATTGGCGAACGGGCTCCACCCCACGATGCCGCCCACGAGAACGAAGCCAATCCCCTATCTCAACGAAACGTGGGCTGCACGCATAGTCGATGAAAGCGCGAACGAAAAAGAAGCTGAGCAGCAGGATCGCCGACGACCATCGAGTCGTCAGGCTCTCTCCGACTGCCACTCGGAGTTCGCCAGAATCGTGCGTTGGCGTTTGAGCACTTCGCTGTTTGTTAACACGCGTGGTCCTGAGCTCGCTCCGGTTCTCGGCAGAACTTTGGCGGCGTTGGGCCTGGATGTGACATGGACATGCCGCGCCAGCGCCTCGCTGCCGTCTTATTATTATTCTCCTGCGCCTGGCCCCCCTTCTCGCTCTTGCACGCCAGCTGCTCTATCTGCCCGGCTACCTCTGACCTTGCTCCGTGGTCGTGGCCGAACAGGATGCTCGCCGACTCCATCATCCGTTCCTTCTCATCACCGTCAGCGCCTGCTTAAGGAGGAGTAGGAGGAGGAGGAGGAGGAGGAGGAGGAGGAGGAGAAGAAGAAGGGGGAGGGGGAGGGAGAGGAGGAGGAGGAGGAGGAGAGGAGGAGCGGAGTGAGAGGAGGAGGGAGGAGGAGGAGGAGGAGGAGAGAGAGTCAATTCGAGGTGGTCGGTGGCGGCCGATCTTTAGTGCCGCCGGCTTTCGCCGGCGGAGGCGCTCCCGTTTTTCTGCCGCCACCTTCCGCGCGCACCTTCCGCGTGCCCTCCGCCGAGGAAGAGATGTCAGCCCTTTCGACCCTCGAAGGCGCAGACCTTTTTGGGAAGCTTCAGATTCGGTGGCACAAAGGTTGCTTCGCATCGGCCTCGCAAGCATGAGGCTGCCATCGGGCGTCTGGCCCCGAACGACATGCCAGACCTTCGGCAGCACGGAAGGGCAGCAAACCCGTCGCGTGCCCGAGCTTGGGGTTGGACTGCGCGGACGCCAATCCACATGTGGTTTCCGATTCTGATTCGTGCTCGGGGTTGGATTCAAGAGTCGGAGACGTACGTAATGGCTTGGACTCGAACCCTGCAACCCCTGGGTGGGGCACTCTGGCGGGAGAGAGAGCGAGAGAGAGAGAGAGAAAGAGAGAGACAGAGAGAGACCGGGTTTTCGCAGCAACGCACCTTGAGGGTGTGGCAAAGGGGGCGGGACGGGACACTAAAACAAAACTGATGTCAGGGTGCGATCGGTTCAGGATGCGTTCCAGGAATCCTGGGGTATCCAGCGGCCCTCGGGGGAGGCATCTGTGCATGTCCACCGCGCAACACCATGATGGTCGAGATCCTCTCTGGATCTGCGTAGCACCGTACTCCGCTGGACCCCAAAGAGGCGTAGCAATGTGGCGACAGCTGAACGCTGGCAACAACCAGCAAGGGCGAGGTGTAGCTAGAGCCTAATTAGTTCGTCGGTCTGCGGGAGACATTGTTCCGCTGAGCCCCACCTGGGCAAGCAGGAAAGCGGTCACCGCTCGACGCATGGCAATACCCAGGGGAGGGTGAGGTCCCGCTGGGTGCGGGGTTTGCCATTTTCGGGGAGCCCTCGGGGCGCAGCAAAGAGGCGACAGTTGCGCCTGGCAGCACCCTGGGAGAGCGTGAGTGCACGACGTGTCAAGGGAGAGGGAGGAGAATCATACTCATACGGGGAGAGATCCGGAAACCCTGAACCAGAAAGGACATCACCGCCTCCAGCCAGCTGCCGCCAGCTCTCTGGACCGCTGCCGCAACATGCTGCTGCATGATGCGAGAGAGGTGGGCCCCGCCTTGTCGGGGCCGACAGAGAAGTGGAGGGCGCCCAGGAGGAGGAGGAGGAGGAGGAGGAGGAGGAGGAGGAGGAGGAGGAGAGGAGGAGGAGGAGAGGAGGGAGGAGGGAGGAGGGGAGGGAGGAGGGAGGGAGGGAGGGAGGGAGGGGGAGGGAGGGAGGGAGGGGAGGGAGGAGGAGGAGGAGGAGGAGGGAGGGGAGGAGGGGGGCAGCAACGGGGCCAAGAGAAGGGACTTGGGAAGGCGGGGGACCCCGCCTCCAGCCGGAACTGCTCCTCCTTCTGGGTGACGTAGTCAACCACCTGGCCGCGGCCGGCGGGCCGCGGGAGGAGGGCCACGCCTGCTCTTCCTCTCCCCCCTTCCCCGCCCATCCCTCCTCCTCCTCCCCTCTCTCCTGCTCCTCCTCCTCCTCCTCCTCCTCCTCCTCCACTCCTCCTCCTGCTCTGGAGATCCCCCTCCTCATCCTGCCTCGCCCTCCTCCCCCTCCTCCTCCCGCTCCCCTCCCTCGTCTCCCTCCCCTCCCCGGTCCTGCGCCTCATCCTGCCAGCGCGCTCGGGGGGGAGGGAAGGGCCTCCGAAGGATTCAGAGCCAGAGTGCCAGTTTCGCGGCGAGGGCATGCCGCCTCCGCGGTGAGGGCCACGAGCCTGTCAAGAGGAGAGCTGTCCTGCGTCGCCCTGCTTGTCCGAAGAGCTTCCACTTGCAAAGACCAGCTCTGCAGTTGCTGGCCAGATCCCTGCAAGCCTCGGCGTGTCATACCGCAGCGCATCCAGTTACTGCCACGCCGAGAAGTCTCGAAGCATGGTGATCTTCAGCTCCCGAGCTCCCCTGGGACGACCTGGGACCGTCTGACTAAAGGGGTGCTTGGGTTAGTTGGGCCTGTCCTCCTACAGGAAGATTTTTTAGACGAAAAATACAAACTAGTGAACACATTCCCGAAATGGTCAAACAATATTCCAAAAATCGTCCCCAAACGATGTTTCGACTATGTTTGAATATCCTTCCTGTAGAGGGACAGGCCCGACTCCATACCTGGGGTCACCCTCTGGCGGAGCTGCGCGACTCCACTCACCGGCTCGCAATGCTGCGGCGTGTCCTCTTACTGCTCTGCCTGCGGCGGCTTCTGCAGGACTCTGCCCCCCATCGCACTGTGAAGGGGGCCAGCCTCCCAAGGCCACCCGGGGGGGGGAGGACGAGGAGGAGGAAGAAGGAGGCAGGAGGAGGAGGAAAGAGGAGGGAGGAGGAGGAGGACGAGGAGGACGAGGAGGAGGACGAGGAGGAGGAAGGAGGGAGGACGAGGAGGAAGGAGGAGGGAGGAGGATAAGGAGGGAGCGAGGAGGAGGACGCACTGAAGGGGTGCAGCACTGCGCGTGCGCAGCCCACCCTCCCGAGTGGGGCGGGACTTGCTCTCCACAGGCTCCAGCAGGGAGGCCCGCCCGCCGGGAGCC